TAGAATAGTTTTAGGGAACTGCTCATAAAGGAATAGACTATTAGTCCACCAGTCAGTATTGGTTATATTGAGATCTCAAGCTGGAATCTTTCCCAGCAATGCATGGCTGAAACTCATCCAATCTCTGAATTAAGCTTTGAGCCATTCTGAAAGGCTCTTCTTTATCTGCAGCCTGAAAACCAGAGGTCAGCTATGAACCTCAGTTTCCTGTTAAGCTGTTCTTTGTCAGTTATACAGTTTTAGAAATCAAGGAAAGAAGAATGTCTGATTGCTTATCTTTGTTATTTTATCAGTAAGTTATTTCTGACAGCAAAGCCTCAATCAATGCTCTAGATGTTCATGCAGTCTTTAGACATCCATCCAAATGAGCAGAAAGACAGAATGTGGAATGTTCAAATAGTTCCGTTTCAAATTTTAAGAAAGCAAAATAGAATTGAATAATGCACCAGGATCATACTCTATATCCTGCTGGGAGTCTACATTTAAGCCTGTATGACAAAAAGTCAGGAAATGCTTTGAGGTATAGTTCTATCTGCAGTGCTGCATTGAGTCATCTTGTTAAAGAATCAAGAATAAAGGTGAACATATTCTCTTGATCCCTAGCTATTCATCCAGAAAAATGTAGGCATTGCTTTTGTGAGGATAGGTAGAATGGAGCTCCCAAAACGCATTGGTACCTAGCCCAGCATCACCTCTGAAGCAGATGTACATTTTTATCTCCCCTTTTCACTGTTATTCATTTCTTCCTGTTATTCATTTTATCCTCACAGTAATCCTGTGCAAATAATCCAAACAGGTGATAGTGACCAGCCCCATGATTGTGAGAGCAGAAATCCAACCCATCCAGTTGTTGGAAGCTTACAATCTAAATGTACTGCCACATTTTACAATTCCCAAAGAATAAGCAAGGGGTAAATTATGTTTGTTTAGCATAACTTGAATGCTGCTCATTACTATGCATACACTAAATATATATGTTGTGCAGTAGAGTCTAATAAAACAATGTTCATGCTCTGACAGATATAATACATCATTTAATTAAAATCTCAAAATGTGCCTTTCGGTGCTCTTCAAGTAACAAGCTTAGATTCATCTTTTTGAAGCTTATTATTATGTCTGGGCACACTGTTTGGGATTCACCCAAAGAATTCAAAGCTGAACACTAATGGAGGAATATGTAGCCTCTGTCTGTCCTCTAAGGAAGGAGAGAGCTGACATGACCAATTTCACTTAAAACAGCATATATGTTTTATGGACCATAAATCCAGAAGCAATTAGCAATATTAAGTTTCAAGCATGATGAAAGACTGAAGATCAAGAATATGCTCTTACAGTAGTTGGCTTGGATACTCTCAGAAGAACAGTTTGTGAATTATTATTGTCATCATCACCGTACCTTTGGAGTATTCGGGGTATCACAGAGTTGCAGCTTCTGCCAAGTAACATAATGCAAAGGAGTTCCAGGATAATCTTCCAAAGGGACAGTTTTCTTTCGCAAAGATTCCCTACATCCCCTGATAGGATTCACCCAAGAACTTGGGCGTGCCGGAGAGCAATCATTCAATTGTCTCTGAGGGGTCACTGGAAAAGGAGAATTCGTTCTCCAGTTCTGAAACTCACAATTTTTCTGTGGAGTGACATGCTTCATATCTTCCACTCTTAAGCTAATATCCTCTTCCAACTCATTTTCTTCTCCACATATGGAAAAATCCAGCCTCTGTATGAGTTTGTTACTGCTGCTCCAATCATCCATTGCAGCTGAAAAAGGCAGGAAGACATATCACGCTAAGACATAATTTAATTAGTGTGCTGACTATGGCTTAGAGAGGCTTATCATGGCTCACATATAGTGCTAATAGATAAGTGCAACAGATACACCCAGTCAAAATCATAGTCTGGATTCAGACATCAAATTATGCTTTGCTTAACTATGATTCAATTAAACCCCAAGTAACTGGATTTAAACAAAATGGCTCACAGATTTCAAAGTTAAGATTCACAAACCACCTTAAAATTTAACATGTATGAATTCACCCAGAAAGTATTTCACAAAAAGATATGAACTCTGTATAGTAACCATCACAATCCTGAAATCAGATATGCGAAACTTGCATCCTAGATGATGAGTTTGTTTCTTCAAATCAAGCCCAATTCTTTAAAAAGCTTTTAGTCTCTTCTTCAAGGACTTGGTTAGCCTTTATAATAAACTGTCTTGATTTGTTCCTAATCAGATAACTACTGCTAGCTGTTCAGAGGCAAGCTTTATATACAGAGCACCATTTTGAAAAGGCCCTTATTTTATATTCAGATTCAAATGAACACTATCTGGTATGGTAAATAGCCCTTTAAAAAAGGACAGGCTGCTATTTTTCAGTGAAATCATGGCACAATATTCTATTAAACTAACATGCTGAGTAGGCTAAAAAGGAAATAACCCCATTCAATAAGTACACTTCAGCACATTTTCAGGTAAGCGTGAATGGGATAAGGTATGCACTCATTTGAGGCAAACACTTGTCATACAAGGTTTAAGTCATCCAACGGATATATAAGTAAATTAAAGAAAGGTTGGACATAATGTCTTTTTATGTAGTCTCCCAGTCAAGAGAAGAAAAGGTTTCTGTAGATACAAAATCATTGAACCAGGTAGCAAATATTGCCTTACTCCCAACCCTTTTATAACAGAAAAACTTATTCACTACCCCAACAGCAGTTGCAGCAACTCAACTGGTACTGAAGTTAAAAGCACAGTAGCATCTATTCAAAATTATCCTTGAACTTCCTGTTAAAAACCACTCATTGGGCCTTATGGATTATGCTGGAGTTTACAAACATCACTTCCTGCATATCCTGTGCTCTCTAAAGTAATTCTGTAAAAACTTGCATTGTTCTGTGAGTCATTCAGAATTAAACAATATTGCAAGATGAGTTGATGGACCTTAAGCAAAGGCAAGATAAGGATGCCTTTAAACAAAATCACAAATCACTGAACTGTAGCTCTGGGGAAGGGAATCTTACAGTTTGGAACTAGTTTGCCGCTGTCTGCTTCCAAAATATCTTTTGCTATTCACCCCACTGTACAGCTCAATAATTTTCTGGTCTCCGATCCAATTCTAACTAGGTTCATCTCTGCTTAGGTGTTTGAGATAAACCCAAGTCAGCTAGATTCTTCTATATCTAGCAAATGATTCAGCTTCTGGAACTTTCAGGTAAAAATTGGGAAAGATTCCAGTCTGAAACATGAAAACTATTGCTATTAATAGACCCAATATATGCTAGAGATCAGAGTTTTGCAAACTTGGCAGTTTGAAGATATGTGGACTTTAACTCCCAGGATTCCTCAGTCAACATGCTGCTGGAAAAATTCTAGGAGTTGAAGTCCACACAACTTCAAGTCACCGATTTTGAAATACAGTGCCTTGGGCCAGTCACTCACTCTCAGCCCACCTCACCTCACAGGTTTGTTATTGTGGGGGCAAAAGGAGACAAATGTGTGTTGGATATGTTCACCTCCTTGAGTTGTTTGTAAAATTATTAAAGTCATGATGCAAATAAATGTACTTAGTTCATATAGGATTTAATGTCTGACCGCACTGTAGATCTAGGAAATAAATTGGAATTATGTCCAAGCAGATATCAGCAAACAGTATTTTATCTAATATAGTTTGGGATTTGTGGCCTTCCTATTTAATCACCTGATTAAATAGACTCAAAAGACATGCAATTATTTTTCCTGTTTGTGGTTGTTTTTCTATCTTACATGGGTATTGTGTGTGAACTGTTTTAATATACAAGGATATTCATGGTGGTATTATTCATATGCATCACCAGAATCATTTTGAATGAGGTGGCATATGACACAGGACTATAGTTGCATGATAAGGAGGCCTGTAATCCTTAAAGCCTCTGCTCACTATGTTACAACCATAATGTGGTTTTAGTGTATGTGTGGAACTCAGTCATAATGGTTTGTAACGCATGATTTATAATTTAAAATATCTGTGTGCACCCAAGCTGGTGAAGAGGTCGTTCAATAAACCATGCTTAAGCCCATCCTGAGTTAGGATAAGGGGTGAGCCAGCCAACTGATTACGGTTTGGTTCATTTAGTACAATTTAGACTGCTCTTTCACCAGGTTCAGGTACCTTGTCAAGCTTGCTTAATTTGAATTTTGGTAAATACTTTTTGTGGCTGATGTTGTGAAACCCGAGGCTGTGTGGTTAGTTTAACGTTATTATGTAAACCCCACGATTTAATCACGTTTAAAGATGCTGTGCCAAAGTGCCCAGCAAGTGGGTCCCTGACCGTGTCAGCGATGGATTTGATTAAAAAAAAAAGAAAAAAAATCTCCTTGGAGTACGTTGCAAAACTCTGCATGAAGATCCCATCGGCCCCATCTAGTGGTCGTCGGAAACTTTGCAATCCAGATCTGGGTCTCCAGTCCGAGGAAATGCATATCCAAGATATAAATAGTCAGATGTTACATTTCCCTGATTTCACGAATACACCCCTGCACGTTTTTAAAACGATGATCTTAGCGGATAATGGACCTTACAGGGAACTGTTCTGAATTTCAATGCTACTGAGCGGATTGTCAGCTTTAAATTCTGTTGGCGGTGGTGGTTTTTAGCTGAAGTGAGGTTTACTTCTGGTCGAAGCTCGAGCAGGCTCTTTGCTTTCCAGCGCTGCAATCCTCCTAGGCGCTTCTTCTACTCGAGAGCCGGCTCCAGTCCGACGGAGGCGGGAGGGTTGCCTTCCCAATAAGCCATGCAGAGGCTCGGGGCTCCACCTTCCAGATTCGCCCAGGCTTGCATCCGCGCGCACAAAGGATCGGAGCGCGCCGGGAATCCTTTTCCAAGCCCGGCCTGTCGATTTCTCCTTGGCGGCTCCGCCGGGGGGAACCCGACCAGGCAGCCGGTGACGGGGGAGGCGGAGATCGGGCGATCGCGGAGGCTGCTCAAGCGCCGCCCTTCACCTCCGCGCGCCGCAGCTGGCCGGCCATGGTGGAGCAAGCCGACGACGCGCCGCTCCTTTTCTGGGCCGAGGGCCCGGCCGTTTCCTTGCCGGAGCCCGGGGAGCCCGGCAGCTGGGGGGGCTGCCGCTCCTCCTCCTCCTCCTCCTCGACGTGGAGGAGCGGCGGCAAGGGGGAGCCGGGGCTGGCCGGTCTCGGGAGGCGACTCCAGGAGCAGGAACCGGGGCAGGTAGAGGAAGACCAGATCGTGGCAGTGTTTGTGGTCACTTTTGACTCCCGCACGGGTAAGCTGGGCAGCGTTCCACCAAGCTGGGGATGGGAAGTTGGATCCCCCTTCGTGGGGAGGGGGAGGACGAGGGATCCCATCAGTCCAATTCTGCACCCAGAATTGCAGCTAAAGGATGGCTTGTCTTTACAGCAGCAGCGTTTTCCTAAGAGTCAGGAATTTGCACCAGAGTCCTTTCTGTTGGAGTTCAGGTGTCCAGGTCTCCAAAACCGAGTCTTTCTGACCATGTCCAGAGTGTGGCTCTGTCTTCCTCCGTATTAAGTTTTTTCTGTTTGAGCCTGGGGATTAATGTGCATAGACTACCTTTGATTTTTTTTTTTTCAGAGGATGAGAAACCATGGGTGTCCCCAGCTTCTTCCTGGGTACCTAGAATTGAAAATACATTTGGTGCATATACATTTCCAGCTTCTACGCATGGAGGGAAATCCTTTGGGTAGATGGCTTCTTTGCTGAATGGTTTTAGATCTGCTTGCCCAAAGAGAGAATTCTTCCTTATTTTGTATGCATTAGCTGTTGAAACCCAGGACTTTCTCAACTTGTTCAGTTCACCAGAAGTTGCTTTCAGACCAAAATTATATGATTGTTCCCTACACATGGCCCACTCGTTGGCGAGATAAAGTGTCTTGTTTTGGATATGATGTAAAACACACAATTCTAGTCCTCATGTGTTCCATCCTCCTTATTCCTTCTCCCCCCCCCCCCTTACACTTCACTGGTTTTTGAAGGGGGAGGTTATCCAGGAATGAGTAGATGTTGGGCCTGTCCAGTCTGATTGGTTTTTAATCTTGAGATCCATCAGCAGATGCAGGCCAATGGATGTGAACATAGATGTGGACACAGAATAGGGTATTTGTGTTCAGATGCTATTACTGCTAATAGTCTCAGTGTGCAGAGAGGGATAGGAAGCTTGACCTTCCCTGTACATTTATCCATATTCTGTCACCTTCAAGTGAAGAGGGCAATTGAAGATGGTTCTTGAGAATCTCTGGATGTTTCCACACAATGCAGAACCTAGGAAAATCATGTAGATATGTTCCAAGCCTAAGAATTTGTTTTCTGAAGAGCTGTGGACTTTGGTGGTTTGCTTGTGGTTTCATCCATACTCTTTTTTCCTTTTTTACACAGCTTCATGGGGTGGGGTAGGAACATTAAGTTTCAGCCAGTGATAAAACATTGGGAGTCAATCTTCTGGAAATCACTAACATCATAATTCCTGATCTCTCTATCCATGCAATAGGATAAATGTTGTACAATATCACCTGTGTACAAAGTCTTGTTGCTTTCCATCCCCCCAGTTTTAGGAACTGTGTTCATATTAGAAAATACTTTATTTACAGAAAGAAAAAAGCCCCCCCTTCCAATATTTTCCCCTTCAGCTTCTGTAATAGTCAGATGATGCAAACAGTGATTTCTGCCCTATTTTTGCTGAACAAGTCAAGAACTATGTAATAAAAACCATCCCTGGTTTGTGGTCTTGACTTGAATAGGAACAAGCCAGGAGCCTTGGCTTGGGTGACAATATTTTGATTCCTAGCTGGTTTAAGCGTTCCACCTGGCAAGAGGAGTAGACTACATGAAGGGTAAATCCTGATTCTTTTGGAATCTGTTACCTTTGCAGCCATCGTGTGGACTTTACCATTCTATGGAAGTAGAGACCCTTGTATCATGTGTGCAGTGAGGGCTTGGCAATGTTCACAGGTCACAGAAAGCTACTGATTTGGATGTTTTGCTCCTTATCTCCTAATAGTCTAAAGATCAGTCAGGATGGTTCCTCACTGAAGAAAAGAATCCTGTGTATCCAGAAACTTTATTTCAGTACTGCCTCAGTCCTAATGATGCTGTTGGCAGTGCACTCAGATGCCAGTCGTAGATATCACATTACACTGAATCATTCAGTGACAATTATACAGGCATCCAGAAGCAAGAGTATCTGCAGGTGTGTGTGTGGGAATGACTCAAATGATCAAAGTCTTGCCCTGTTTTATGTGCATATGACCATTACACACGCAGAAAAAGGGCACCCCTGCCTGAAAGTATTGTGGAGCAGTCAGGACATGTATATGTATTAACTGTTCCCTTTATTCCTGAAACGATCCTTCAGTTTTGAAACAGGTTGTGGGTAAAGTTATCTGTGGTTTCCTTGTAAGAATTAAGTCATCATTATTGCAACATTTGGGTGATGTAACTCTTCTTTGTATTTGCTGTTCTTCAGAACGTCTAAATACTTCCTTTTCTTGTATGGGTTTGTTTGTTTTCTACTCTGCCTCCATCCTTTGGCAGCAATATGGATTCCCAGTTGCAGTTACGCTCTTTGCTAATATATATGGCTAACGGGGACTTGATGCCATCATTTTAAAAAATAGCCTCTATGTAGGCTAAAGTTAGGCAACCTTTTTCCAGCCCTCTTTGACCAAAGCTCAAAAAATATATATGCTGGTACACTTTTTCTGCTATTTCAAGGCAGGATACTGACCAAAAGTAGTGCAAAGCTTAAATATTACGTTAAAAATTTTTCAAAAAGAATTTCTTAATGGAAGGGGGAGGGGAAACAAGAAAATTGTGGCTCTGCCCACATGTCTGGTTTGACTGGGCATCATCACCATTATTGCCCTTTGCCCTCCCCAAAATGCAAAGCATCCCAAACCACTAGAGTGTCTGCCCAATGCTGAGTTAGATGGTTGCTAAAACGAATGGATTTGCATACTAGCCTTATATGAGATACTTACCACTAAGTAGATCATCTTAGACTTTTGAGTGCTCTTTCATTTATTTATGAAGTCATTCAAAGGAATCGCCATATATCAAACATATTGTCTTCCACTCACCTCATTTGGGAAGCAGTTGAATGGATTCTTGGTTATCAGAAATTAGTAATAAACATTTCACTTTAAGAGCACTTAGCTTTGCAAATTCTCAGCTTTGCAAATTATGATAATGATGAAACTTGTAGTAAATGAGTTTGTGGTTTCTATATTTTGACTTGGGAATGTTGGTTCCCATTCTTCTGGAATTGCTGTTTGACAATGTCTGAGTGGTTGCTGTATGGTGGTAGTAAAAGTTGTTTTCAAAATTCTCAAAATGGCAGCTAATACTCCAATTTGGAAGGAGTTGATATCGGTCCTATTGTCTCAGGTGATATTTGTATTTCAAAAGCTTTTTAAATAAGCCAACCAAAGTTGCAACCTGGACAAAAAAATATTGCTTATGAGGCTAGTAATAAGCATTCTTTCCATTCCCTCCATATGAGAATTTAAGCCATGGGTGGTGTGGAAATTTAGGTTCTTAACTTCTGGAGAATTATTTCTATCAAAAGGGGACAGGCCAGTTTGTCCTTTCATGAGCAGTGCTTTTGTTTGGTAGTAGGAAAGAATTTTTTTCCTTCTTTCATGATAAAAAAGTCAAGTGTGTGCCAGAAAAAGGAGATTATTCATCACTTTCCTCTCTAAATGAAATTCCTGGTCACCTAGGGTAACCAAGGCAGCTGTTATACACAAGGGCCATTAAGAAGATTCAGATACTAGCAAAGTCTACAGATGTAGGTTTGTGTAACTAGCCAACATAATTGGCTTTCCATGCGTTCTTCTGTGCATTTCAGGAAGCTTGAGTTGCATGTCACATTGTGTTGACCTTTATGAATGAAAGTGGCTTGGAGAACCAAGCCTAAGTATACTTTTGGACTCAGTTGTCTGGGCCAAACATGGATGGCATGGCCTCACCACTCTTTCCATTCAAAACCCTTGAATGAGCTTTAATATAGTTCATTCTGGGAAATTAAGGCCTCTCTTAGAACATTTTGCCTGCTGAGAAGTTTTCAACCAATCCCCTGTGGCTACACCAGGGATTGAAAGGGAATGAGGCTGTGATGGCCTGACTCCAGTTTACCCATGTAGTTTGAAAGATGGAAGAAAAGTGAAGGAAAGTGTATATCCAGGTAAGTACAAATAGGCTCAGGTTTTAGCAAAAGGAGAAGAGTAATTTTTGGCAGCTCCGCGAAACAGTAGAATAAATGAGTTCTTTAAAAAAGTAACACTTGAGAGATTTTCCTGATTAATAATCAATGTAGATAGATTTGCTAAGTATGCCCACTTGAATATCCACATGGCTGATACATGGCTGTAGGAAAATGCATATTTTATACTCTCATCCCTATTGTATGAATACCCAAGGGGTAGAGCCATCCAGATACAAAAATATGAATATATCATAAGAATACAAGGATGTAATTTAAAAAATGTTCTTTAAACTTAACAACAAAAGGACAATTTAAAATGTCCTCAATTTACAGCCATAATTGAACGCAAAATTTATGTTGCTAAGTGAAAAAATTTTTAAGTGAGCTTTGCCCCATTTTATGACTTCTTGCCACATTTGTTAAGTGAATCACTGCAGTTGTTAAATTAGTAACACGGTTGTTAAGTGAATCTGGTTTCCGTATTGACTTTGCTTGTCAGAAGGTTGCAAAAGATGATCAAATGATCCCAGGACGTTGCAACCATCATAAATGTGAGTCAGTTGTCAAGTATCTGAATGTAAATGACATGGGGATGCTGCAACAGTCATATGTATGAAAAATGGTCATAAGTCACTTTTTCAGTGCCGTTGTAACTTTGCAATGGTCACTAAGTGAATTGTTATAAGTCGAGGAATACCTGTACTATATATCCAGTAGAATAAAAGATAATGAATTTCATTATTAATTTTTATTATTTACCAGGTGCTCTATTCCTTCCTATTCTCTGTGCTTTTTGCTGATTCTTTGATAAGAGATGTCCCAGGGTAATTTCAGACTTCCTTCCCATGAACGTTGCTTTGCTAATTCTTCCTGACCGCAAGTTTGTTCAAGTTCTCCTATTTCACTTAATTGAAAGTCATGTGGAAGCCACAGATTAGTCACATTTATGCTGTATGAATCACAAGTATCTTATCTGTGAAAATGCACTTGACTGGACCCCATTGCTTTTCTTGGAAAAGATGGATTCCAATACCATTTATTTGGAG